ATCACACCATCATCATCAGTAATCTGTCAAGACGACAGGTCCACAGTCTCTTCCAAAACAATTCCTCCACTTAATGCGATCTAGAGCTTTCTCCTTCAAATGACAGTATCCTCTTCTGTCCCCAAGGTCATCCAGCATCTTCTTACGTCTTCTTCCTCGTCTTCTTGTCACTTCTATCCGCCCATCTATCTTTCCTTCGATAACTTCTTTTAGAAGGCAGTTTCTGCGTAAAACATGACCAATCTCAAAGAAAAAGCCAATAATACAATATATAAAATTTAAAAGCTATCCAATATAGAGAAGCAGTCAAGGTGACAGTGAGTATGCAATACATGATAAGAGCCAATAAACCCAAACCTGTAGTAAACATGCTATCTAACCTGTGCTGACGGAACCACACATAAATGATAAAATACTGTGAAATTAGGAAACATTAGGAATCGTTTCCAGTCTTTCTAGAGGAGGAAATCTGACCTCTTTCTTTCGGCCTGAATGTAAGCGGGCCTACTTGTTTACATTCCTGCAGCTCCGCCACTGTGAATGCACATGTGGGTGGACTGTTACTAGCGTGGCATGCCATTCAGTGTGGTATGGGAGCTCATTTCAAGTGCAAATAGTCATGACTAGAAGTTTCTTCGCTGCTGAAGATAAAAAAAGTAAATCGTAAGAGGGTGGAGGCCCATAGGGTTGCGAGACACTCGGCTCACAGATGGCGGTTAATTTATCAGCCCCTTATGTGTCGGACGCCCTTTACCCCCCAGCAAGATACTTGGTACTCATATCAGCTAAAGATTAAGTCAACCTCGGGGCCATAGTGCGGCTGGAAGGTTTAGGTCAAATGAAAAATCAAATGACCTCATCGGGAATTGAATTCATGACCTTCCGACTTGTAGCACAGTGCCTCAGCCAAATACAAAAACAAAATGGCGCGTCGCAATTAAGGCGATACCACAGTACCAAGAGTCAGTAAAATATGTACGCCTAATGCATACGCAGGATCAGTAACGCAAGGGAACGACATTCCAGATGAAGGTGGATGGGCAATGTGCCAATCGTTTCTAGCCTGTGTTCTTCGACTTCCGCACTGCATTACACCAACAGAGGGCCAATAAACAAATTCCATGTCGTATCATAAATCATGCTCAAAAGGTCTACGATATTGGAAAATTCCTTGACTGTTCATTTTCAAAATAAGTATGAATCTGAGTGAGAAAACTATCTTGCGGAAAAAGTGTAAGAAGACAACCATGACGTAACAATCCACAGTTTATTCCTTGTTCTTGGTTGTCGTTGCTAATGTGTTTGTTGTTCCTACTATTATTGCTGCTGACGCTGCTATTGTTGCTGCTGCCTTCATCAATAATCAACACCACCACTGTTATCAGCAGAAGCATCGTAGTCGTAAAAGTGTTGTGCCATTTGTTGACCCGCTAAGGACTCGATATTATTACCAGAACTTTAACCAACTTAGGAATGCCTGTGGCGAGAATCCGATTATTCTGTGACGCAAAGAAAGAGGCGTGGTTCTGAGGTACTAACAGCAGCAAGCAAACCTACTCCTATCTTGCGACAACGCGTCATGTGAAACAAAAAATTATGTCTGCTTAAAATCAGCAATTTCCGATCATATATTTCTTCAAATAATGTCATAGTGTTACGGTAATATTCAAATTGTGTTTCTGTGTACACTTATGTCGTTTTACCGAATTTGATACAACAAAAACAAAACAAACTCCGTGGTTTTAGTCCGCAAGCGAACTATACCAACCGAGCGATCGCCGCTTGTCGGAGAAGTAAGTGCCAACTTTAGCGGGTAGAGGGTGTCGCGTGGTCAGCGCAACGAATCCCCTCAATTATCCTCACAAGACTGATTGGACCCCGTTCCAGACCCACTACTTCTCAGAAAACCTGTAGCGCTGGGAATCGAACCCTGACCTCTGGGTCTGTAGCCAGGAACTCTGACCACTACATAACAGAGGCGGTCACCGAATTTGATAAAGGTCTTAAAAATTCAGTTCACATGCTTACGCACAAAGTAAAGTTGACGAGCCATGAAAGAAACTGCAGTATTGGCACGTGCTGGATTGTTCCTACAGCTTCATACCCAGAGCTCAACAAACCCACTTGGCTGCTCGTCCGTGACGAGCGAAAAATCAAGGCCGACGAGTGTAAATATCTTTGAATTTATTCGTCAGTATTCCCTCCCTCTCCTCCTTTTTTCTATTTCTCCATACATGTCGAACAGCAAATGATATCTTATATGTATGTTATATAACATAAAGTACTGTATTTTATGTGTTGTACTTTATGTGCTGGCAGGGAAGCTGATGCAGAGGGATCATTACAATGGCGTGGGTAGGAGAGGATTCCCATATAAAGAAATGTCTGGCAAATAGAATTTTTGTGTGACCTGTGAACTGAGTCAATATTTGTTAGCCCTCGTTCCTGTCGCCAATGCATAAAAACTTTTTCCCTCGGAGAATATTTGGGAGGGAAATTTATCACCGTAGTACGAAAGAAAATCGTTCGAAATTAGAAAGTAACAATTTTTTTTCCTTGGCGCTACAGCCCTCATTTGGGCCTAGGCCTACCTCGATGAAACTCTCCGTTTTCAATAAGTTTAAGGTCTTTCATTCTGGTCCGTCACACTAACCAATTAGCAATCAAGTTCCTTCCGTCAAATGTGACACTTTTTTAAGTTTTCCACCTCGTCAGCACCTGCCTTACATGTTTCGGCTCACCACGGAGCCATCATCAGAGGCATTTATAGTAGAAAAAGAAATCACCAACACACAAAACTTCACTTTGTCCAAGATAGCCACGTTCCAGTTAATTAAAATAATTACAAATAGTTAAAATTAGCCAGTATGTCGATTCACTAAAAGTTTTTCACACACCACAGTAGCTTCCTTATTTGATTCGTCGTTAATTCTGTAAAATTATGTTTCGTTATTTGAAGTAAGAATTCTTAAAATCCCTAGAATTCTTTCCCGCTTGGCCCAATCTTTTTGCTTCGGGATGTTGTTGACGTGTGTTGTCTGTCGGTAGTTGATGTTGCTTGTCTGTGTGTTGTGATGCTTGTATCACAAGCATCACAACACACAGAGACACACACAGGAGACCCATCCTCCTGTGCAATGGGTGGGCTCCAGAGCCAGTCTGGACAACGTGGAGAAAAGAAAATTCTTTATACTACCGGGACTCGAACTCCGACCCCTTGGTTATCTAGCCCGTAGCCAGTCGCTATACAAACTACGCTATCCCGGCTCTTACGACACTGATAATATGAAGTTACAAAGTACCAAAATGAGGTGGTCACTTTATACTGAGTTACATGAAACTTGGTCCATTAATGTACTTCACTGATGTTCATAACTGGATAAAAGGTCAAACAAGACACAGGCCCCTAAGAACAGCCACACGCTGTTCACAGTAACGATCGGGAAACTTTCAGTATATGTATTGTAGGGTACAATATTTACCTACACGTTTAAGATGTACGCCTTATGTGCAGCTTCAAGCAGAAGACATTTTGGTATTTTGGCCTATTTTTTTATGAAAGAAATTATTCACAGCTGCTCCTAAATGTTACTGCAGGGTAAGAGGATGTATTTAACTCTCTGAAGCCCCAAAATTCATCTGAATAACTCTTAAAAATTAAGTTTTTACTTCACAGAAAACACTATGCTTCCTCGTTACAAACATCAGCATGTTAACACTGTTTAAGGAAATAATCACAGTTTACTCTCAAAATTACATACTCTGTGTAAAATTCAGAACTGTTTAATGTTAAACCAAGTGGTTCATTTAAACGATCATATAGAAACTATAAGCTATCGAGACTACCTCCCACAGTAGACTGCTTAATCACCATTAAGTGTTTAGTCATGATGGATATGTTCCATGAAATATAGCAGACTCAGAGAAATTACTTCCAAACAAATAATACTCATATTGATTTGAAAGTATACCCTTGGTAAAAAAATCCACACGAAATGGCCTGCATGTAAACATGAACGTAACGTTATTCCTATGCACTATGCCATGAAGACGCATGGTGAAGCGGAGATATAGCTCCATGCACTCTTCATCTCAGCACTAGATGGAGGTAAACGGTCGGCTTCAGCATCCGGCAGTTCTAACCCAGCAGGAGAGACCCTTGTACCCACTTGAGAGAACACTGGTGGGGCAGAGAGAAGAATCTCTAGCCCTTGCCAGGAATAAAACCCAAGTCATCCAAGCCACGGGCGGTTATTTTACTCACTGAGACATCCTTCCGTCAAATCTGTTCAACTGCCCCCGCGCTTAATGAAGAAGACAACAGGAGCGGGTGTTGGCATAGATCAGCATATGTTACATACAGGAGTGTTCAGAGTGAAGAACGTAAATTTTCTACTGGGCTTCGGCAGCACAGTCATTCTTGGTTTCGGGCCCAGTCGGGACCCATGATCATATTTCTGTTTGTTTCAAGACTACTTATATGTGTTTTGAAATAGGGCCCCTTTGTCGATAGTCGACTGGAGTGTTCGACTTCATGCCACGGGACAGTAACTTAGTTAGTTAGTTAGTTAGTTAGTTAGTTAGAGAGGGTGGGTTTCCCCATGCACCGCGACCAGTTTGATCTAATGTGCTTCCCTCTATGATATTCTACCAGTCTCTATATCCTACCGGTATTGGTGCTTACCATCAGTCCCGCCGAGCAAGCGAGACCGGCTCTACTAGCTGAGAGGTATCTATAATGCTTCCCCCATCTACCAGAGGTATTAGAGACTGCTGTTGGGCGGGAAACGTCCGTTAATTTGGCTCAGTGACCTCCTTTGGAGACATGAGGTTCTTTTACGTGCCGTAAAGCTACGACACGGGACCCACGGCTTAAAGTCCCTCCCGGAGGACTTGTTCCCTGAATTTTTCCGCCCTTAAAAATTCGACGACCTCCGCCGGGTATTTGAACCCGCGTACTACGAATCAGGAGGTGGGAACGTTACGGGAGAGTAACTTACCTCGACAATGAAGTAGAGAGTCTGTTTGGTGAGGAGTTCCACAGCAGCGTACTTCTTGCTTGAGGGTGTGAGTGGAGAGCTGCAAGACTGCACTGGGGCACTCACAGTGCTACTACGCATACTGCCTACATCCCGACAGTCACTTGCGCGCCACGTTACTGCAACGGCCCACTGTAACACATCACAAGGCGATCTTGAGGACCAGGCGACATATCAAAAATGAGGGGGACATGCATAGTTACGGCACGCTGTAGCGTAGTTGATTGAGGCACTATGCTACAAGCCGGAAGGTCGCGGGTTCGGATCCTGATGAGATCACTGAATTTTTCAATTAACCTAAACATTCCAGCCTCATTATGGCCGAGTTCGACTCAGCCTCTAACAAAAATGAGTACGAGGAATCTTCCTAAGGGGTAAAGGGAGGCCGGCGAGTAAGGCTGACCTCACCGCCATCTATGAGCCGACTGTCTAGGAAATGTGGAAGTCTCGACGTCTCACAACCCTATGGGCCTCCACGGCCCGCCACATGGATAGCCGTACGTTAGAAGTATTACGTGTTTGCGACGAAGGTACAGTTATACAAACACTATGCTTCTGGGCATTATCCGTCGTCCTCTCTTTGTCTAAAGACGCCGTCCTGTTCATTTCTCAAAACACAACGTTTCGGCGACCGGATTCTTCCTGGCAACGTTGTTTTCAAAAATAAACAGGACGGCTGTTTCAGGTAAAGATAGCACGATGGATAAGGTCCAGAAACATAATATTTGTAGCAATACATACTATTTAAAACATTGCCACATACAGATTGGCCCACAAACCAGTAAAGCGGTCAGTTAAAAAAAGGTATAACTGTCCCTCTGCTTAATTAATTAAGCACTATACCATGAAGACATTTTGTCTGCCGGGATTCGAACCCCGGCCGTCCAGCCTATAGCATGTCGCTAGTTAGTAAAATGTACATTAAAATAAGTTTTTTTAATTCGCATAGTGGGGGGTGGAGTCCAGTTGGGTCCACTCGGCACGTCGGCTACTCATTGGCCTATTGTACCTGCCCCGGGTGATGATGATGGAGAATTTGGTGGAATGAAGACTGGCAGGGCAAATAGAAGAACTCGTAGAAAACCTGCCCCAGCGCCACTTTTTCCCCCCACAAATTCCACTTGACCAGACCCGGGCTAGAACCCGGGCAGCCGCGGTGGGAAGCCAGCGACTAACCGCTTGAGCTATGGCGCGGCCTTTTTAAAATAAGTTAAAAATATCTTTATTTCTTATTGAATTCACAAAAATTGTTGGAAATGCGATCGTTCATGTTCAATGCACAACTCACAATGCTGTAACAAAAGTGACTTTTTCTTTCCTTGGCACTACAGCCCCAGTGGGCCTAGGCCTACCTCCATGAACTTCTCCGTTCACTTCGGTTCTTCTAGATCTTAGACATACGGTAGGACTCCTTGGGCGGGTGATCAGCTCGTCGCAAGGCCTCTACCTGTACACAAACACAGAAAAACGCACACAAACATCCACGCCCTGAGTGCGATTCGAACCCACGATCCCGGCTTCCGAGCGAGCGAAGACAGTGCATGCCTTAGACCGCTCGGCTACCGTGACCGGCAACAAAAGTGACTGGCACGTTTAAATGTGAACATTCCCGTTAATTTAAGTTAACTTACTTTCGGGCGACTCTATATAGTAAGTAACGCGGTATGTCTTCGCTCGGTGAAACTGATTTAGTACAGATGGATATGCGGTGTTAACCGTCATATTTGCACGAACGGCTACAAATGGAAACCTACGCAGTATGTTTCATTGCAAATACTGATTGGAGGAGGAGGGTCTGAATACAATTCACGTCTTCGTAAGTATCAAAACAAACTCCGTTGCCTGTAGTCCGCAAGCGAACTATACCGACGGACCGAGCGACCGCTGCTTGTCGGAGAAGTTAGTGCCAACTTTTTCGGATCAGGGTGTCACGTCGTCAGCGCAACAGTTCCCCACGGCCGTGAATCTCGGTTTTATAGACAGGAGCCGTTATTTCTTTGGAATAGCTCCTCAATTATCATCACGAGGCTGAGTGGACCTCGTTCCAGACCCACTACTTCTCCGAAAAATCTGATAGCGCCGGGAATCGAACCCGGACCTATGGATCTGTAGCCACGAACTCTGACCACTAGGCCACAGAGCCGGTCACGTTAAGTATCACGATTCCTAATACATCCTTTCATGAGTTCGCTTTCGGTATCAGCTTCAGAAACCGGGAGATAAATATCAGTGGGCAAAGACTCTGGGTCACTAGGTACGTCATGTTGTGAACTTGTAAAAATCGAAATGCAAGCAGTTCTGATGGCCAAAAAACATTTATAAAACTTACAGCATAATTAAAGAAATTGTTTTGTCTATAATTACATTCACATTAAGGGATTTATGTGTCGAAGGTTTAAAAAGCTCATAAAAATTGGTAAGCACCACACCATTAAGACGTGCAAGAAACATGGAAGTACAGTTCAACGCAGTCTTGGTGTCATCTTTAGATTAACGCGAGTGGTCAGCTTCATATCCTGCTTTACTCGCGGGGAACGGCCTCCGGGGTCCATGTGATGGACGTGGTGTAAAGTCAAATCTACAGCGTTCTCGAAAATCTAAACCTAACAGTCTAGTCCAGACAGAACGCAACCCACTAACTCAAACACACATGCGCACCGAGGGGACTTATTAACAACATAAGCAACGAAACAGAAGATAGCAGTCTCCTCGCCCAGTTATTTTAACACCTGATGATTATCGCCTCTGTGGTCTAGTGGTCAGCGTTCCTGGGTACAGATCCAGAGGTCCCGGCTCGATTTCCGGCGCCACCAGATTTTTTCGGAGAAGCAGTGGGTCTGGAACGGGGTCCACTCAGCCTCATGAGGATAATTGAGGAGCTATTTCAAGGAAATAGCGGCTCCAGTCTAAAAAACAGAGATTAAGGGCCGTGGGGATCCGTTGCGCTGACCACGCGACCTCCTGTATCCGCTAAAGTTGGCAATAACTTCGTCGACAAGCGGTTGTCGCTCGGTCGGTATAGTTTTCTTGCGGACTAAAAAAAACACGGAGTTTTTTTAATACATAAAAGATAATATAAATTCCTAACAGCCCGAGATGGTTAAAGAACTTTGAAAAGAGAAAAATGAACAGCACAAGTAAAATAATGAAGACGATTCGTTTCCAGGGAGCAGAAAATGTGTTACAAATCTACAGTACCTAAAATACTCATTGGCAGAACACAGTAACCTAGCCTGGCCTCCGCCTCTCCTTCTCTTGGGACAAGGTGGAAACCCACAACAAAAATATGATTGAATACATATGTATCAAAACCAGACACTAGCTTCAGGATCAATTCGATGGCAGAATTCTGTTTAGATGTCTCAATAATATGCTAATTAGTATTACGCAACAATTCATTTGATGCAATGCATATGTCATTCTAATGAAAGTGTGACATATGTGTACAGTCTCCATCCGTTAAGACAATCACAAAACTACGTGCTTGTAAAAGTGTACTGCCTAATCACAAAGGACTTCCGACAGATTTTTTTTCCTTGGCACTACAGCCCCAGTGGGCCTAGGCCTACCTCCATGAACTTCTCCGTTCACTTCGGTTTTTCTAGATCTTAGACATATGGTAGGACTCCTTGGGCGGGTGATCAGCTCGTCGCAAGGCCTCTACCTGTACACAAACACAGAAAAACGCACACAAACATCCATGCCCACGATCGCGGCTTCCGAGCGAGCGAAGACAGTGCATGCCACTTCCGACAGATGCCTCTTGAAATTTCAAAGCTTAGAGTGGAGGATGGTAAGAACTCGGAAGTTAAGGAAACGGGTTGTAGTGACACTGAATGGACTGTGAGGCCATGATGTTAAGATGAAGTAATCGACTTCTGTTATGGATATTCTAATATAACGAAGATTTTGACTTCCGACAAACTACATTCTTTTTGTCAGCTTATGAGTGCAGTGCAATTCCCGTCGGTAATACCCCGAAGATTCCATCGAAATATTCCACATCTAGTTGTCCCTGTACTTAATTAGGCCCACACCAAGACAAGAGGACGTATGGGGGAACAGAGACATATCTCCGTGTATTCTTAACCCTCGTCAGTAGGTGGCGGGGAATGTTCAGCTGGCTGGGCCCCAGAGTCGGTCTGGACGGTATGAAGACTAGACAAATCTCTGCTCCTGTCGGGAATCCAACGCAAAATTCCCCAGTAATCCAGCAATCTAATCGCTATACTGAACAAATCCTGACTCGCCCGCTTCAAAACTGGGATCGTTAATTCAAATCCCATTAGAGACATGGATGTCTGTGTTCGTTTATTCTGTGTAGGCAGCAGCCTTGCGACGGGCTGATCACCAGTCCAAAGAGTCCTACCGACTGTGTATAGATTAAGAAACTGAAAAAGGGGCCAAGATCCACGAAGGGCTGTAGAGCCATAGATAACGTATGCCCATTTTACAGTGCCACGAGAATAATATGAGGCACATATTTCACACTGCACGCGGTAGATACGCACAGTTAAACTCCTCTCGGATATTGTAATTGACAAGTTCCTGCGAGACTCTACATTTTCCCTGTATATAATTCATTACTTATCAAGTAATCGTTCAACCAAACCTTACAGTTTATAGTTATTAGAGTATTCGAGAAGTAACCTGTTCGAATTCCAGTCACAACCGGCACTTCTGCGTTCTCTCCACGTGTAGTCACGAACTAAAGGAATAAGCCAAGACCGAGCACTTTCCATATCCGCCCGTAATCGATCACACTGATCCTTGATGTAACATCTTCAAGTGCCACAGAATTCGCTGACTTCACTCTTTCCTACTCTGCACAATCTTTTTTTTTATTGTTAGTGGGGTGGGAGTAAGTCCCTTGTACTGCGGCCACTTCTGGCCTATTGTACCAGCTCCAGATGATAGGTGACGGTGATTGTGGAGCAATTGGTGGAATGAAGATTGGCAGGGGAAACTGAAGTACTCGGAGAAAACCTGCCTCAGCGCCACTTTGTCCACCACAAATCCCACCTGACCAGACCCGGGATCGAACCCGGGCCGCCGCGGTGGGAAGCCAGCAACTAACCGCTTGAGCTATGGCGCGGCCCTCCTGCACAATCTTAATAGACGTTTTGCATTCA